ATATTGTGTGGCTAGGACCAGTTCTCCAAACCATCCTCTCCTCTGTAGCCCCACTCTTGTTGCCAACATTGCCAAAGGGTCCTTGTCCTAGACTCCACGCTTGAAAGTGTCCCACTCTGGTTTTCCTTTTGTTTTGCCATTTCCTATGAGCTGAGGAGTCTGTAGGGCCAAGGAAATGTGAAATGTGTGTGTGTCCCCTCACCCCTGCCCACCGCTATCTAGCTACACAGACCCCAGAAATCCCTGCAACAGGCCCCCTTCCCAGGTCTGTTCTTCCAAGAGTAGACTGCATGACTCGTGCATGCTCCCTTTGCCCAAGGGACAGCTGTTTTGAAGGGGATAGATGGCTCTTGGATGGAGCTGGTCATGTGCATAGCTGTGAGGCCCCTGGTGCTGTAGATCAGAGCCAGACGTCAGAGGGGGAGGAGGACACACAGGGACCTCCACTGGTACTCTCATCAGAGGCCCGCAGCATTAGGGGTAGGACTAATCATTGCCTTACTTTCCTTTATATTCCTGGTACAGGGCTTCAACTACTTTTAGCGATTCTTAAGGGCAGGGGCTTTACCTTTTCAACTTTATGTTCCAGTATACATAGCCTATCACAATACCTACCCCAATATGCAGTGAATACTCAGTATGTTTGTTGAATGAGTTAACAACACAGCTTATAATGAATAATTTAAAATTATTCATCTTCTTCATTGTCATTGTAAAGTTTATAGATTTTATTATGTCTTATGGCCAGCATTTTTCCAGAAAACATGCCTCTAATTTTGCATTACTATTTTATGGGAAACTAGATTTTATATATAAAACTGAATTTTATTTTTAAATATATTTTTACAAACAATTTATAAAACAGAGTTAGTTAATGGTAGGTAGCAGAAAATAGTGTCAGGCAAACATAAAATTCTTGATAATACAAGTTAGTGTTATATCATGGTTACCAGGACAACAGTGCTTATAACCAGTTATATTAGTAACTACCAAGCCCTGAGGGGCTCTGGGATACCAGTGTGAGAAGGAGCAGGAAAACTTAAAGATGCTGGTAAGGATGGAATTGGGTTTCCTTGCCAGGTTTCCCATGAATTCAGAGAGTAACCCCAAGATCCTGTTCTAATGAGGTCCCAATTCTACTGAGCTCATTTGTGAGGGGTGTGTCTGTGTATGATGACTTTTAATACAAAACACACATAATTATTTAAATTTGAGTAATTTTAAAGTACCAAATCAGCATGTTTTAATTCGAGATGACTTTTCAGTGTGATAATACACATATGTTCTAGGTTCACACCCCCCCCCCCCCCCCCACCAAGTTCAGTGACCTTAGAGACTGAATCCCCCTAGTATCATACCTGCTTTGGTTTCTACTTGAGCACGTGTACCACACTATAGTGAGGAATACTCTGACATGAGAATTGAGTAAACTGGATTTGGATGATCCTTACATTATCGCAAGCTCACATGTTCTCACTCTTAGGTTTGCTATTTGGAAAATAGTCAATTCATGATTTGGCAGAAGAGTGCCAAAATGTTAAGCCATGGCAATAACTTTAGTTTTAACCTTAACTTTGAGGATTCATACTGTTTTGTCATTTTTTTGTTTGTTTTGTCTTTTTAATGGGTTGTTTCTTCCTTATTCTCCTTTTATTCTTAACATTTTTAGGACTAATAAAATGTACTTCTTCCACCCCTCCCCTTTCCAGATGAGACGAGTCTTTCAGGAACACCTTATTAAAAGTATTAAATATCAAAGCAGTTACCTGTATGAGCCATCCTGTGCTGTCTGATTGTTGCGCCATCACGAGTCATGATTAAGGGAGTCATGATTAAAACCACTTAGTGACATTGTTTCAAGAATACTTTTATGATGAAATTGCTGTGTGGCAGCTTGGGATCCACTGACTTTTGGAGGAGGCATTCAATTTATAAACACTAAATTGTTTTTGTCATCTAGAAAATAGTTCCCCTTACACAAGAAGATTTTAAGATGTCTTTAGTTGCTTTAATTTAATAATGACATGTGAAACCATTTTGCCTTCAAATACTTTTTCCAACATTTACAAAGATGTGAGCAGACCTAATTCACATATTTTACCTCCCACTCACTTATGCTTCTACATTAAGGCCCTACCTCTCTTTCATATACTTGTTTATTCTTTCTGCATTCAGAAACCTTTAAGTAAGTAACTTAAGGTGGTAATTCTTTATAAAGAGGATTTGACGCCCATATGGTGATTAAAAAGCAAAACAAGCAAAAAAAAAAAAAGTAGTTATTATCATGTATATGTCACATATACTGTCCCTGCCCTTCCCTTTACCTTTAAGACAGAAAAAGTGGACTCATCTCCTTTTTGGACTTCAGGCTTCTTTTCTTCTTCAAGGCTATTCATGAATGTGAATGTGAATGTTGGGGTGGATAAAGAAATGTTGGGAAAGGGTTTGCTCAGCAAAGAACAGGATGAAGCACTGACTAGAATGCTGAGAAAAGGTGGGCAAGAGAACAAGTGGAATGGAAGCAAGAAACTATTCTTCACCAACCTTTACAAGTCATGTGAGTCAGAGAACTAGAACCAGAAGGGACCTAGTGATCCTGTGATTACAGTCCCCTAACCTAACAGGTGCTTAGTACCTGCTTATGCAACTTAACCCCTCATTTTTCGGGAGAAGAAAGGGAATCCCACAAAGGTACATTACCCAGTGCCATTCAGCTAGTTAGTTGCACATCACGTCATCTGATTCCTCCACTAATTCCTCTTCTGTTAGAAGGTACTGTGATAACTTTTTCTGTTTTTATAATTCTGTCGCTTAGTACAGAGTAGGCATGAAATGTGGAGCTCATTAAATAACTATCATTTGTAGGGCTGGTAGCACTTGCTAGGTCTCTTTATGAGTTTTGGAGTCAGACTTAAATCTCAGCTTTGCCTGTTAGCACGTGGGCAAGTTTCTTATTCTTTCTACGTGAAGCTGTCACATCTCAATAAATGGGGATAATAATAGCTCCCACATAGTGTTATAACAAATGAAACAAGATTGTTTGGAAGTCTTTAGTTTGGTGTGTTGCACAAATCATAGGCTTCAGTAAATGTTTGTGAAATGAATAAGGGATAACTATTACTGTATTTAACCTTCCTCAGAGAGAGTCAATATTCTTTACCCTTCAGGTGTGGGATATTATTTACAGATATGTATTCTTATTGCCCTAGTTAACTGCTGTTTGGCTACTGTCTTGTCTAGAAAATGCCTGCTTTACCTACCTCACAGCCTTTTAATTTGTTTAATTCCAGACTAATCCATGGAGGACAGCTTTTAAATGGATTAGCAGGCCCAACCGTAATGAATGCAGCTCCATTCCTGTCCACAACGTGGTTTTCTGCAGATGAACGAGCCACTGCCACAGCTATCGCGTCCATGCTCAGTTATCTCGGTGGAGCATGTGCATTTTTAGTTGGACCACTTTTTGTTCCAGCTCCCAATGGCACGTCGCCTCTTCTTGCATCCGAGAATAGCAGGGCCCACATTAAAGACCGTATAGAGACTGTATTATATGCAGGTATTTTGAAGTTTATTTCCTTCCTGTTATACTTTGTCTTTTATCCTAGTCATCTTCACTCTGCTTTTGTGTAACAGATCACTTACGAAATACTTAAGAGGGCTAATATATACATATGCATATATGTGCTTTCGTTGTTTTATAATACTAGAGGCCTGGTGCACGACATTCGTGCGCCGGGGGGGAGGGTCCCTCAGCCCGGCCTGCACCCTCTCACAGTCCAGGACCCCTCGGGGGATGTCTGCCTGCTTGCTTAGGAGTGCTGCCTCGGAGGCGGGAACTGCACGTAACTTGGTATGTCTACAGTAGATTCAGTATTTGTGTTTAGGTGTCGATAGCAAGTGGCAGAAAATGAGACTGGAAAGGTAAGGGACCAGATTATAATAAACTTTGAATTAATTTATTCACTTATTAATTTGACAGCTATATTTTGAATTCCTATATATCTGTCACTGTGCTAGGCACTGAGGTAAACATGGTTCCTCTTCTCATAGAACTTATAGTGTCCCAAAGAATACAAGCAGGAAAGCAAACAGTTGTTAAAGAGGGTAGTAAGTACTATAACCAAAGGCCTACACTTGTTCGAAGAGCTGAGAAGTGGAACACCTAACCAGATTTTGGAGGTCGAGTAGAGCTTCCCAGAGATATAGCATCTAAGTTGGAACCTGAGAGAAGGCAGAGAGTTAGCCGAGTACAATGGGCAGGAGGAAGAATATACCAGAGAGAGAGAACCAGAGAGAGAAGGGGAGAGAGAGTGCTACATTCAAGCAACTTAAAGCCCAGAGTGGCTTAGGTGTGGTGAGAGTAGATGAAGCTAGAGAGATAAGCCAGGCCCTGTAAGCCTTGTAAACAGGACTAAAGGGTTTGAAATTCACCATGTTTTCAGCAGTGGCCATACTCTGAAGAATTTTATGCTAGAGAATTACATGGTGAGATTTACATTTCAGAATCTGGTTTGAAGGGTATAAAAGTGAAAACAGAAATAGTGGCAGCATATAAAGCATTTAACCCACCTTACTCCTATTAAAGAAAAAAATTTGAATTGTAAAATTAAATAAGTAAATAAATAAAACACAAAGCAGGTGAAACAAATTTTAAACTTTATTTCAGTTATATCATTCTTTTTATTGAAAACGTAAGCAATGATTATATCTTCAAATGATTTGATTTTAGGCACTTTTGGGTATAGCAGATAACCTACTCAAAGCTTCCCAGTTATTTCTTCATTGCTTTTATATTTTCCAATCTGCCTTCCTGAAACATTATCCCAAAACCTTCATTCCATTAAAAACATTTGCTAGAATTGCTACCTTAAAACATAAATGACTCTTACACTGAATTATTCCAGACAACTACATCATAAGTGAAATATAGACTAATAGACCAATATCTCTTAGGTATATAGAGCCATAGTCCTGAAAAAAATACTAGCAAACGAAATCCAGCAACATACACAAAGGATTATATACCATGACCAAATAGGATTTATTTCTGGAATGCAAGGTTGTTTGAACATTCAAAACTCAACTAGTGTAATATGCCATATCAGTAGAATAAAGGAGCAAAACCATGTGATCATCTTAAAAGATGAGAGGGGGAAAAAAGCATTGACAGATCCAACACCCTTTCAAGATAAAAACACTCAACAAATCAGAAATAGATACAGGAGCTCTCTCAATCTAATAAAGGGCATGTATGAAAAACCCCCAAATAAAATCATAGTTATTGGTCAAAGACTGAATGCATTCCCCCTGAGATCAGGAATAAGACAAGGATGTCTATTTTTGCACTGTCTATAAAGCACACACATGAAAAATCCACAGATATTCGTCAAAGACTGAATGCATTTACCCGGAGATCAGGAACAAGGTAAGTATGTCCACTCTTGCTATGTCTACTTAACATTGTGTTGGAAGTTCTAACCAGGATCACTGAGAAAATGAAATAAAAGGCATTTTAGATCAGAAAGGAAAAAACAAAGCTATCTCTTTTGAAAATGATCTTGAATGTAGAAAATCCTCTGTAATCCATTAAAAACATATTAGCTCTAAAAAACAAGTTCATTAAGAATGAACAAGTTTATGCTAAAAAAAAGTTTTAGGATGCAAGATTAATATATATAAAGATCAATTGTATTTCTGTACATTATCAATGAATAATCCAAACATGAAATTAGGAAAACAATGCAATTTACAATAAGAAGAAAATATTTATGAATAAGTTCAACAAAATAAGGTAAAACTTGCACTCTGAAAGACTACAGAACACTGTTGGAAAAAGTTAAAGAAGACCTAAAGAAATGGAACGAGAACCCATGTGAAAATTTAGGGTTGTGAAGATGCTAATATCCCCAAATTTATTTATAAATTCAGTGCAAGCCCAAATAATATTTGGCTGCCTTTGTTGCAGAAACTGACAAGCTGATTCTAAAGTTTATATGGAAATTCAAGGGACCTAGAATAGCCAAAACAATCTTGAAAAAGAACAAAGTTGGAGAACTAACACTTCCCAATTTCAAGTTACTACAAAGCTATGCCAATCAAAATAGGATTGTACTGGCATAAGGATAAACATATAAGTCAATGGAACAGAAGTGAGATTCCAAAAAATAAACTACTGCATAATTTATGTGCAATTGACTTTTCACAAGGGTGCCAAAACAATTCAATGGGGGAAAGAAAAGTCTTTTCAATGAACAGTACTGGAATAACTGGATATCCACATGCAAAAGAATCCATTTGATCCCCTTCCTTACACCATACACAAATGAACTCAAAATGGATCCTGGACTTAAATGTGAGAGCTAAAAACAATTAACTTATATAAGACGAGATAGGAGTAAATCTTCATGTCCTTGGGTTAGGCAAAGCCTTTTTATAAAGGACACCAAAAGCACAAATGACAGAAGAAAAAAATATGTAAATTGGATTTCATAGAAGTTAAAACTTTTGTGCTTCAAAGGATACCATCTACAAACTGAGAAGACAATCCATAGAATGGAAGAAAATAGTTGCAAATTACATATCTGATAAGGAACTTTTAACCAGAATATATTTTTTAAAACTTACAATTCAACAACAGAAAGATAAACAACCCAATTAAAAAACGGGCAAAGGACTGAATAGACATTTCTCTAAAGAAAATATATAAATGGCCAACAAGCACCTGAAAAAAATGCTCACTGTCATTAGTCATTAGGAAAATGCAAATGAAAGCGATAATGAGATAAATGTCACACCCAATAGGGTGGCTTTAATCAATCAAATTGAAAATAAGTGTTGGTGAGAAAGTGGGGAAATTATACATTGGAACCCTTATACATTGCTAGTAGAAATATAAAATGCCACTTTGGAAACATTTTGGCAATTCCTCAAAATGTTAAACAGAAATTGCCATATGACCCAGCAATTTCATTTCTAGGTATATACCCAAGTGAGATGAAAACACATCTTTGTAAGAAATTGTACATGAATGTTCATAGTAGTATTATTCATAATGACCTAAATGTAGAAACAGTCCAAAATGTCTGTCAATTACGTGGATTAAGAATGTGGTATATCTACTCAGTGGAATATTACTTGGCAAAAAAAGAATAAAGTATTGATATATGCTCCAACGTGGATGAACCCTGAAAACATGCCAGTGAAAGAAGCCAGTCACAAAACCCCCCAAATTATATGATTTTGTTTATAAGAAATGTCCATAATACTCATCCATAGATAATGAAAGTAGATTAATGGTAACCTCGGCCTGGGATATTTGTGCAGGTAATGAATACAGAGTTTCTTTTTTGGGATGATGAAAAAGTTCTAAAATTGATTAAGGTAATGGTTGCACAATTGTGAATATACTAAAAACTATTTAATTGTGCACTTTAAAAGTGCAGATCTCTGGAGGGAATAATCGGGATAGCTAGGAACCTTCCCTCCTGTGATAATGCCAAACTAAGATTGTTGCAATATTCATTTTAATTCTGATTGTTTAATATTCTGCAGTAGCTAGTCATGTTTATAATTGTATATTATGTGAATTATATCTCAAGCTGTTTACAAAAATGCCTGTAGAAAGATGGGCAAAGAATATGAACAAGGCAACCACAGTAGAAGAAATACAAGTGGCCAATAAGCATATAGAAGACTAGAGGTCCGATGCACGAAATTCGTGCAAGAGTAGGCCTTCACAGCCATGGTGGCTGCCTAGTTCCCTCCCTCGCAGCCATGGTGCCGCAGCGGCCTGGATCCTTGATCCTGGTCTAATCAGCATATTATGCTTTTATTATTATAGATGCTCATTCATTGTTACTAATAAATACAAACTGTAAATTGAAACAATTCATTAATTGTTCATTAATTTAGTTGCTTCTCAGATTGACAAAGAATAAAGATATTATTTGTGGCTAAGTGTCATAAGAATGTTGTAATTTTTGCTAAGAATATAGCCCTAGAATTAGAATTATCCTACTGAAAGGTCCCTGGAAATCACTTAACCCAAACACTTTATTGGCCCAGAAAGAGTAAGTGATTCATTCAAATTCCAAGTTAATTAATAGCATAGACAAGTATATACTTTATGGCTTCCAGACATTTCTACTAAATTAAGCACAGCTAACAAAAGGTGGGACTTCTAGGAAACAGATCTCTGGAGGGAATAATTGGGATAGCTAGGAACCTTCCCTCCTGTGATAATGCCAAACTAAGATTGTTGCAATATTCATTTTAATTCTGATTGTTTAATATTCTGCAGTAGCTAGTCTTGTGTTTATAAATTTTACTTTCTGTCTCTTGGTTTCTTATTTTGTATGCTTTCCTGTTCTGTTCAAATTTCCCATATAGCCTGTAAATTGAGTCTGTCCTACATCAGAATATCATATCATTGATCAAACAAACCTCCTGATCTCTTCTTACATATTTTCTCATATTTTTTATTTATGAGGACCATGCATATTAGACAACCATCCCAGACCTGCTTCAAAATCTCTTACAGTTCAATACTGTGGGTTTCTTTTTCATTGTATCTATATTTTTATATGAAATATTCAGAAAAGGCAAAGCCACTGGGATAGAAAATAGATTAGCAGTTTCCACAAGCTGGGGAGGATGAGGGTGGGGAGTGGAATCACTGCTAATGGGAAAGGTGGTATTTTGGGGGGGATGAGGAAAATGTTTGCTGTTGTTGTTGACACTATTACAGATGTTCCCCCTTCCTCCCTCTTTGCCCCCCTCCACCCAGCCTCCCTCCCTTTTCTCCATAGAGCAATCTTTGCTTACTGCCTCAATATTTTTGTCTGTATAGTGCACCATAGTACCACCATACTTCATTGCTTACAGAAGGACTTCTTACCTATGACCTGCTGAAATGTTTATCTTGACATATTATATTTCTCACAAGACAGCTATTTTGGTTAGGTACTATATTTCGCCTATTTTCATATGCCTAGTGCTTAGTTGATGCTCAATAAATATTTGTTAGATAAGTAATAATTGAAATGTTGAACTGTTTGTGTCATCTGGTTAACATTTTATTTTTTTCAGAATTTGGAGTGGTCTGCTTAATATTTTCTGCAACACTCGCTTATTTCCCACCCCGGCCTCCCCTTCCTCCCAGTGTTGCTGCAGCTAGCCAGCGACTGAGTTATCGGCGGAGCTTTTGTAGATTATTAAGGTAAATGTACTTAGAATTACTGAGTGGTTTTGACTAGCACCTTTAAAAAGAATTTCACATTTATTTAAGATAATTTAAAATAGTAATTTTTCAGCAATCTATTAATCAGGTTGTAAATAATTGATAAAAAATGGATTAAATACTTTAATGGGACTTCCTATGAGAAATCTATCTTAAAAAGTTGCCCAAAACAAAAACCTCCATAATTTTTCCCTTCTCTATCTCTATTGTTATTTATTTAACATTTTAAAAATTAAATCTTTAATTTAAGTGATTTCTTTTATAAGGAGCCATATCACATAATAGTATCTTTGAAATCATGGATTTTATGTGTTTATTATAGTTTTCCTATTATGTAAATTCTTTTTATTCATTTTGTATTTATTTTTAAAAAAATATATTTTTATTGATTTCAGAGAGGAAGGGAGAAGGAGAGAGAGATAGAAACAGCAACCTGGCATGTGCCCTGTCCGGGAATCGAACCGTGACCTCCTGGTTCATAGGTTGACACTCAACCACTGAGCCACACTAGTCGGGCCATTTTTTATTTCTCCATACACATTAAAATAAAAAGTGAATAAAATAAATAGTGCTTATTTATATGCCTCCAGTAGGATCATACTTTGAGAAATTTAACATTTTATTTTATTGGTATAATTTAACTGTAATTAGATTAAATTCTGCCCTTGAAGGCTCAAATGCTATAGTACTGAACTCGATTCTTTGGATATATAGACCATCACTGGTGATTATGATTTGCAGTTGGACCATTAGAACTTATCTTTTGAATTTTTCCCCCAGTTTGTTATAATAAGTTTTTAGTGATTCATTAGCGACTCTCTCTGGTTGGTTCTTTCTTTTCTAGTCCTCCTCTCCCACCAGATGGTAAGACCCTATGGTCAAAAACTATGTCTTTTTGTCCACAGTAATATTACCTAATTCTGTATAATAAAAGGCTAATATGCAAATTGTCCCCTCGGGAGTTCGACTGGCCAGGAGTTCTACCGCTCGCTATGATGTGTGCTGACCACCAGGGGGCAACATGGAACAAAGGAAGGCCCTGGCCGGCAGCCAGCAGCCAGGGGAAGGAAGGCCCCGGCAGGCCCTGATCGCCAGCCAGGCCTACGGACCCTACCCTCACGAATTTCGTGCACTGGGCCTCTAGCAGGATTATAATATGAGCCACATAATAGGTAATTTAAAATTTTCTAGTAGTTGCATTTAAAAAGATTAAAATAAATAGGTAAAAATTAATTTTAGTAGCATATTTTGCTTAAGCCAGTATATCTAAAATATTATTTTAACATGTAATCCATATTAAAAAATCTTAATGAAGTATTTTATACTCTTTTATTCATACAAAATCTTTGGAATTTGGTGTATATTTTACTTACAGCATATCTCAATTCAGATGCTAGATTTTCATTAGAAATACTTGGTCTGCATTTAAATTTTGTTATATTAACAATTGAGCAGTGTCTCCCATATTGCACTATTTTATCTAAAGTTGAAAATACGTACCTGCAATTTTTCAAGCTTGGAATCATTACATCTGTGATATTATTTTAAAGGTCTTATATTCTACAGACAATTGTTTGGGCCTTAATTGAAGATCTTTCACTTCACTTTCGTGGAAACTTCTTATAAAATTCATTGTGTATTTGTTGAACATGTCTCTTAATATTATCCACTTAATTATCTTAAAATTTGTTTTACACAGCAGGCATCATTTTGCTCTGCTGCAGCAAGTTGCAATTGCTATTCATTATGAAATTTGCATTATGAAATAGTCTCATATTTTTCTCTATAAAACATTTAGATAAGCAAATTACAATGTTATTATGTAAAAAATATTTAGAATTGAGTTAGTTCACTGACACCAAGAAGATCAGTGACAGGTTATAATACTAGAAGCAACACATACTACAACATGCACACTACAGTATCTTACCCAGTGCAGCAGTTAAAGTGAATTATAGTTCTACCAAAAAAAAAGTTGCATTTAAAATTAGTTCTAAAGTTGCACTAGCCACATTTCAAGTGTTTAATAGCCACATCTGCCTTGTGACTACCATGTTAGCATAGCTATGTAACATTATTTTTCAAGTTTGGTTCACAGCCAACTAATGAAAGAAGGTTGACCATCTTTTAAAAAAAAAGTAGAATAAAATAGAATAATATTATTGAATCATTTATAGTAATGATACATATCTTTTGTGAGAGTTTCAGTCTATATGTACATATATATGGGTAGGTCACAAAGTAAAGATATGTTTCTTACTCTGGAGCACTGTAAAAGGTGTTTGAAAACCCGTCTCTACAGCACCTCATACATTGCCTTCCACATAATAGGCAACAAAAAATATTAGTTAAATTGAATTATTGTCAGTGGACACATTTATAAGATGACAATTAAAATGATAGGCTTTTTGGAAGTAAAATGCTATTTAAGTTTTTCTTTATGCCAAGCCTAAGATCAGATAGCAATAGATAAGGCTAGAGAGGTAGATTAGGGTCATATTATGCCATATTAGTAATTTTGGACTATTCTGTGGGAAATGAGGGGTCATTGAAGGATTGATTTTAATGAAAGAAGTTACATAAAAGATTGTTCTGAGAAGGGAAAACAACTTAAAATTATCACTCTGACTACCCTCTGTTTGCTTCTAATTGCCCCAGAATCAAGATCTTTATTTTCTGTGTAAACCATGAAATGTAAGATCTTTTTTCTTTATTTAAAAAAAATCATTTTCATTAATGCTTAACATTCCTTTGTCTCTCCCATATTCGACTGTTTACTCTGCAGAATTGCTTGCTTCTACTTTTGGCTCGCCATAGTCAGTACATACAGAGCTTCCCCAGGGGAGTTCTTTGGGCCTGCCATGCTGTATTCCCCTAGCCTACCAATGTAATTTAAATTTTCTCTGGTCTTTCAAAGAAACCCTGGTTACTTTATTATTTCCTGGATTCATTGGAATAATTGTGGTGTTTTTTTTCTAGACTAATTGCATTATCTGGGGTAGGTGGTGAGGGGAAGCAATGGTTATGTGCTAAGGTTTCCACCACAATTTTTTTTGTACTATTCATACCATTCCCATCTCTTAATATGCATTTAAACTGTGTAACCTAATGTAAACACTTCTCTCCCTTTATGTGTTGGTTTAATGCAGTGGTTCTCAACCTTCTGGCCCTTTAAATACAGTTCCTCATGTTGTGACCCAACCATAAAATTATTTTTGTTGCTACTTCATAACTGTAATGTTGCTACTGTTATGAATCGTAATGTAAATATCTGATATGCAGGATGGTTTTAGGCGACCCCTGTGAAAGGGTCGGTCGACCACCAAAGGGGTCGCGACCCACAGGTTGAGAACCACTGGTTTAATGTTTGATGACGGTGGTGGTTGTTTTTGCCTTTCAAACTTCAAGGGTGGAGATTTGAGTTGAACATGTTCTTTACTTCAGGACAGATGAACACATTTACTCATTTATTTACTTGTTCATTCTTTTATTTATATTTCCCACTTTCATTCCTCTCCCCTTCCCTTGCCCAGGCCACCTTTCAAATGCATTTAATGTGTATCTGTCTGTGTATCTCATTCTTTTTTACTCTTTTCACTAAACATGGTAAGATGTTTTTTTTAAAAAAAATAACTTCATTTGGGGAATTTATAGAAATATCCAAAGGTAGAATAGTTCAACTTCCATGTCCCCATTACCCAATATCAACAGTTGCCTATTTATAGCTAATATTATTTCAGCTCTACCTACTTCCCCCTTTTCTGTATCATGAAGCAAATCCCAGATGACAAGTCATTTCATCCATAAATATTTCAATATGTGTAATATATGTTAAAAAGATAGGGACACGTTAACATATAGTACCATTATCACACCTAAAAACTTTAAAAAAATAGTTTACTAATATTACATCATAGTTTATATTTCCAATTGTCATAAATGTCATAAAATTTTTTTAACAATTTGTTTGAATCAGGACCCAAATTAGGTTCACATATTGCAGTTGGCTCAAATCCATTACAATCTGTAGGTTTCCATTCCTCTCTCTCTCTCTTACCCTTGTAATTTATTTGTTGAGGAGCCAACTCTTTTGTCTCCAGGGTCTAGGTTTTGAGGATTGCTTCCTTATGGTGTAAATTGCTATGTTTCTCTGTTCTTTGTATTTCCTGTAAATTGTAGTCAGAGCTATGTTCTAACTCAAGGTTTTGCTTTTGCTTTGGTTTTGGTTTTACAAGACTACTTCATGAATGATGCTTCCTTCTTCCAACAGGAAGAGCAAAGGAATAAAATTATGTTATGTATACATATATAAAAATAGTAAACTACATATTATATAAAATGTAAAATTATATGTCTATATTACAGTATGGAGCTGGATAAATAAATTGTGATATACCAACATAATGGAATACTATGCAGCTATGAGAAAGAATGAGGAAGCTCTGTATGTATTGACTATGGAAGAGCTTTAAGACTTAAATTGAAAAAGTAAAATTCAGCAAATGGTTGTACTATGCTATCATTTATGTAAAAAGATTGGGGGGAATATATATTTTGTATGTTTTGTAATATTTCTGGGAAGTTACCAAAGAAAGTGATAACATTGATAATTGTGGGAAGAGGGGAATAGGGAATAGAGGGAGATATTTTTCCCATATTTTTATACCTGTTAGTTGTGAGCCATTTTAATTTTATTGCCTATTAAATGATTATTTAAAAATTAATAAAACAAATGATAATAATAAAACAAAAATTAAAACTACTCTCTGAAAATGGTAAAACTAGCAAGTTATATATTTGTTTTTAATCTTTTTTTCTAACTTGTTCGAGGAGAAAGTATAATTTTTTTAACATTTGAATTTTTTATTTTTCAATTACAGTTGACATATAATATTATTATATTAGTTTCAGGCATACAACATAGTGATTAGACATTTATATAACTTATAAAGTGATCACCTGATAAGTCTAGTACCCACCTAAGCAACAGTAATTTATCCTTTCAAATAGAGCTTTTTTTAAACTGAACCTACCTACGTCATTCTATGAAATAATGTTGGTAATTCATCGATATAATAAACATTGAAAATTTTAAACAATATGAACAAAAAAGACTATTCTTATAAAAATAAAAAATTTAAAGAACTTTGATTTTATTAACACATTGACAACTATTTTTTATTTCTGATTCTGATGTTTTAATTTTCAAATGACTGTTTTCATGAGTAAGTTTAAATTCTAGAGTTTGAATCTGCAATAATATTTTTCACTTCTCTTTCACAGCAATGTGAGATTTTTGATGATTGCTTTAGCATATGCCATACCGCTCGGTGTATTTGCTGGCTGGTCTGGAGTTCTGGACTTAATTTTAACACCAGTGCATGTCAGCCAAGTAAGCATTTTATCTTTATATTTGAAGGTATTTTTAGTTCATTTAAATGATAACTGTTGTCTACATGTTCTTGGTTTTAGCTTCAAGGCCTGGATAAAACAATAGTCCATACCATTATTGCAAAAGCAAGGTCCATGTGAAATAATTATAAACAATATTTATTTTCTTCCTGGATTTTGTTAAGCCATGAATTTCACATTTATTTGGGTGTTATTAATGATGCTACTAAACAGAAAAATAAAGAAGGAAAATCTTAGTTTAGTTGACTCTATCCTTTATATTCTTGCTTTATGCTTTATGAAGATTAAGATCCCATCATCAAATATATGGCTATTCCTACATCTAATTTCTCACTTTCTCTCTAGTTTCAGGATAAGGATATCTCATGTATTTAAAAGTAACCATTTCTTTGGTGGTGTGGGGTCCTCAGCAAGTGAGAAATGTGCTGCACATGTAAAGGGCAAAGCTACCAGAGGTTTAACAGAGAGACTGTTACAGGGTTGAAAGCAGAACAAATACAGTAGAGGGTGAGCAATACTGGGCTCTCGGAGTTCGGGCCCTGCCAGAGTGGAGAGACCTCATTAACATCTTGGGCTTCTGCTGAGACACCAGGAAGGCCAAACTTTAGAATGTAGGACTCTGCCCGAGAGAGAGTATGACCTAGCCTACTTAAACCCAGAAACAAAGCCTAAAACCAGGCCCCAACGAAAATCTGCAGAGGAGGCAATTGAGTCCTCTCACCTTGGTTTCTACTTCTCTGCTATAATGAAGCACAAAATCAAACCTACCCAAGTGCAAAGTGATCATTTAGTAGCTGAACTGAAAGAGTTCGGAATCTTTATATTGTATTTTCCATGACATATACTATACAATAAAAAAAAAGAAACCACACCAAAACATTAGACATACAAAGAAACAGGAAAATGTGACCCATATTTTAAAAAGAAAAGTAGTCAGTAGAAACCAACTTGGAGATAGTCCTGATGTTGGATCTAGCAGACAGAGACTGTAACGTAAAAGAGAGAGAGAAATCTTTGCTCCAAGTTCATAAACATATTCCCCTTGTTAATCTCGTAGAACTGAAAGTATAGTAGCCACTAGCAACATGTGCCTGTTAAATTTAAATCAGTTGAAATGAAATAAAAATTAAAAATTCACTTCTTCAGTGATACTTTTCAAGTGCTTAATAGCCACTTGTAACTTGTGGCTACCATATTGAACAGTGCAGATATATTACATTTTCATCATCATGGAAAGTTCTATTGGACATTGCTGTTCTAGAGGCTTTATCATTATGCCTGTCATATTTAAACCTAGAATGGAATTTTGTGCTTGTTATAGTTAGGAGTTTATTTTCCCCCAATATAAATAAATATCCATTAACCTAATATCAGTCTTTGAAAACATCATGTTTTCCCGTTGTCTCTAGTGTCATCTTTGTCATAATGAAGTGCCCTCGTGTGCATGGATGTGTTTCTAAATCATTTTTCCCCTCTATCCTTGATGCCATCCATTCCTTCCTCTTGTTTACAGTTTTTGTGTCATCTTTAGTCTATGTGTGTCAACCTCTAGTCTATTTGTCTGTCTTTGTGCCAATACCAAATTGTCTGAAGTATTCTCATATTACAAGTTTTGGTATCTGGTAGAATAATACTCTTTTATATTCAGATTTTGATGAAATATTTTTGAATCAATAGATCAGCTTGAGAATTAACTTATTTATAATACTGAGTCTTCCAAGCTATGATCATTGTATTTCTCTTCATTTACTTAGGCCGTAATGTCTCTGAATGATGCTTTATAATTTTCAGCAAAGATGTCATCTGTATATTTGTTAGATTTATTCCCCGGTATTTGATATTTTTTGAGGTTGTTGTAATTGGTAATTTCAAAAATTACCAGGAGGCCACAGTTCGATTCCCAGTTAGGGAACATACCTGGGTTGTGGGCTCCATCACCAGGGTGGGGAGTGCAGGAGGCAGCCTATCAATGATTCTCTCTCACCACTGAGCCATGATGGCTGGGCTATGCTAAATTTTTTCTAATTTCACCTTTAGGAACTCTAACTATATATGTTATACCTTCATATTGTATTCCCTAAGTCTCTTACTCTCGATTCTGAGTTTTTCATCCTTTTGTATTCCTTTGCTTCAGACTGGATATTTTATCTAGCCTTTCTTCCAAATCCAATTCTAGTTTTCAGTCTAATATGCTATTAAACTTATCTAAGGGTTACCGATTTCAATTATATTTTTAAGTTATAAAATTTGTTTTGGTACTTTTTTGTAGTTTCCAATTTTCTGTAAAATGCTTGAGCTTGTCTTTTATTTTTTAAACTTTTAAAAATAGTTATTTAAAGTCTGCATCTCATAATTCCCTTTTCTGGATCCCCTGTGGGTATTTTTATATTTGTGGTATTCATTGATGTTTTCTAATCTCCTTACATGTTCTACTATTTTTGACTGAGTGCTAGACATAGTAGCATTATGAAAAGTTGTAGAGATAATTTAAGCTCCAAGATGATGTTATTTTTGTACAAAAAGAACTTATATTTTTCTTACAGGAGTCTAGAGATCATTTAATCTAGTTCCAGAAATAGGGATTATTTATAGCTGGGCTTCAGTCCCTCAAAATATAGTTTTCAGGTCACAGTACTCTTAAGTATAGTCCTTCAGAGCCCCCAACTAAAGCCTGGGATTTTTCACAAGGCCACTCACCCCACAATAAGCCTCAAATTCATTTTTTCCCCCTTATGTCAATGAGGCTGTTGATAACTTCTCAGCCCCTTAGCCACTTTTTCTAAAATCAGCAGACACCCAACCCCAAAGGGAAAAGTGTCACCAAGTACCAGGTGTATCTGAGTTTCCTTCCCATTCTACATAATAATAAAAGCATAATATGCTAATTGGACTGGATAGCCGAATGATCTTCTGGACGTCATTCCGGACGTCCTTCCAGACGAAGCCACAGTGGCGGGGGCCAAGACAGAGTGGTTAGGGGTGATCAGGCAGGCAGGCAAGTGGTTAGGGGTGATCAGGCAGGCAGAGGTGGTTAGGGCTAATCAGGCAGGCAGGCAAGTGATTAGGGGCGATCAGGCAGGCAGGCGAGTGGTTAGGGGTGATCAGGCAGGCAGGCAAGTGGTTAGGGATGATCAGGCAGGCAGGCAAGTGGTTAGGGGCAATCAGGCAGGTGAGTGGCTAGGGGTGATCAGGCAGGCAGGCAGGTGTGTGGTTAGGAGCCAGCAGTCCCAGATTGTGAGAGGGATGCACCGGGCTTCTAGTGTTTCCATAATTATGTATTACCTTCTTGGCTCTCTGATGCCATCAGATAGATTTCCTTCCAGATTTCCTAGTTCTCCATCAGAATATTAATCCAGATTACTTAGTATACCTTCACCATAAGAAGTAAGCCTTAATTTCCTAACCTGTTTTCTGGATGGCAGGTATTTCAAGCATGTTCACTTTCAAGAAGGAAAAGTGTAGCACTCATTTAAATGATTCTGATTCTGCAAATCCTTTTTCATTTTTATCTTCATTAGGGGATATTTTTCCATTGAGTTGTAGAGAGAGTGGAAGGGAGGGTTAGAGACAGAGAGAAACTTCGATGTGAGAGAGACAGATGGATTGGTTGCCTCCTGCACTCACCCCAACTAGGCAGGGAGGGTGAGTGTCCTTGACCAGGAATTGATCCTGCGACCCTTCAGGGCTGACATTCTAAACATTGAGCCAAACAGGCAAGGACTGATTTTGCAACATCTTATGCTTCATCTTATAAATCCTTCCAAGTATCTGCCTCTGTACAAACTCTGAGAGGTATAGAGACCATAAATCACACCAGGTATTAAGTAAAGCGAAATTTAAAATTAAATGAAAGCAACAGAGCAAAACAAAGAAAATATTTTAATTATTGTGTAGAATGTGATTAAATAAAGCAATTATCATGAGCAAAGGAAGCAGAAAAGGCACAGAAGCCTGACAGGACCAGGGTCAGTATGGTCAGAAGCATGGTGGTTCTTGCCCTGGTACAGGACCCCACTCGCCTAGGGGACAGATGGAAATGTTAGTGGGAGCCTGATAGCATTATCTGGGCCTTAGATGATGGATGCAATGAGAGGGGCAATTCTGCAGAACAGAGAATTCTCTTGTTCCAAAAACCAATAGTATAAAAAAAAATGTAGAGATAATTTAAGCTTCAGGGTGTTCTCTTTTTTCCAGAGAGAGTTTATCTTTGTTTTGGCACCAAACACTGGCACAACAAAGGACTTGTGTAAAAGTATTGTATTACTTGGAGCAGAATCCCAAAATTCTGAGACTTAAGAAGAAATCCATTTGTCATTCGCATAGCAATCTAGGACAGCTTGCCTGGTAATGTAGGACAGTTGTCTACAGTTTGGACAGGTCTTCTCCTCACTCCTATTTAGAGACCTGGGTTGCTTCCACTTTGCAGCTCTTTGTCTCCTAAGACCTTGTCTTTATAGTCATGGGTGAAGCTGGGTGACCACATCTGGATTCCAGCTGGAAGAAGGGAAAGAAAGTATGGAGGAGGCATATAACTGTGTTCCAGGTTCTAGCCCAGAGAGGGCACACCTCAGTCTGGCCACTTCCATTAATGAGAACATAGTCACGTGGTCACATGGAAATGAATGGGGGTTGGGACATGTAATCTAGCCAAATGCCCAGGCAGAAGAAGATAATATGTTTTGGTGGACAGCTGAACATTTCTGACACAGGTGTAATGAAAAATATGACTAGAAAAAATAAAAGGTACAAGTTAGTTTGGGCAGCTCTCAAATGCCGGTTAGATTTGGACTTCTCCCAGTAGCCACAAGGAAAGCCAGGAACTGTTTCTGAGAAACGAAGGGGAATGATCGGAATAATTGTTCTGGCAGGATGGGAGGAATAGATTGTGGAGACCATTCCAGATGTATTGCAGGAGTCTAGAGTGGGAAATAAGATAAGCAAGTGTGGACGTGGGAAGGGGAAAGAAGAGACAGACTGCATCTGTATTGTTAGGGACACAGGGATTTCAGTGTAACAATAACTAACATGTACCAAGCACTTTACATTTATTAGCTTATTTAATTCTCAAAAAAAAATTCTTTATCATCCCCACCTACTAGTGAGAAAGCTGAAACTTAGAGTGTGAGTTGAGACAGAAGCCAAGTCATAATAAGAGTTAAAGATATAGGCATGATGAGCAAATAAAGGCAGCATTTGTAGATTGCTCTGAATAAGTTTGGCCATGAAGGTAGGAAAGCGATTAAGACATCAGGTAGATGGAGAAGCATCATCAGGTAATGATGACAGCTCTAACCTTCATTGAGCATTTCCTCTGTGCCAACCACTGATCTAAGATCTATACATAAATTATCTCATTTAGTCTATTTTATAGGTAAGAAGATGTAATATAATTTTCCCAGGGTCACAGAGCTAGTAGATGGCAGGGCCAGAAATGTTTTCTCAAGAACTGACTGAGCTATGCAATTGAAACTCAGCTCAAATTCTCTTGCTCTATCCAGTCTCCCCAGGTGCTCAACCCTCAAACCTACATTGTCTCCCCCTTTTGTGTTCTGTTAATACATTTTTAGTTGTTGCTAGGTTTTTAACAGTTAATTATTTCCTAGTAGTTGCCTTTGTGTTGGCTATTTTTTTAAAAATATATGTTATTGATTTTTTTACAGAGAGAAAGGGAGAGGGATAGAGAATTAGAAACGTCGATGAGAGAGAAACATCGATCAGCTGCCTCCTGCATACCCCCGACTGGGGATGTGCCCGCAACCAAGGTACATGCCCTTAACTGGAATCAAACCTGGGACCCTTTAGTCCGCAGGCCGATTCTCTATCCACTGAGCCAAACCAGTTAGGGCATGTTGGCTATTTTTAAACTTTTTTTCTGTCAGTGACCATCTTTTGTCCATCAGTGACCATCTTTTGTCCTTTTCCTGTTTTCTTAAGAATTCCTATTATAAAGCTAGGCATGTAGAATATATTTTTAAAAATTTGTTGTGACATTAATTATATGGTGTGACACTGATAAGTTAATGGAAGACATATTTACTGAGATACATTTGTATTACTTAGTCACACATAAATCCTTTCATTTGATTCATTTTCTTAAATGGCATTTCCTAGATTTGTTGTTATGTAGCAATTAATATTGATTAAAGAGGACTTTTTTCAAGCCTTCTAAATTGCAACATGATAATCTTATGTTTAATGTGTCTGCCATTTTCTTAACAGGTAGATGCTGGCTGGATTGGATTTTGGTCCATAGTTGGGGGCTGTGTTGTTGGAATAGCTATGGCAAGGTAAGAACATTTTATGTTAAACATGTGAGTAGCCAGAAACAAACAAAAAGCCCAAAGAAATAATCAGCTTCCCTAAATAAAAATTAAAATTTAAGGAAAAGTAAAATAGGCAAAGGTCAGAGAAGGGGGCTACAAGAAAATCGACATACAGTAGGGAGAATGTGCTGCTAGAAGAAACCTCAAGAGTGGTCCATCCTGAAATGTTTTTGTAGACTGGAGATGTATTTCCAGTGTAATTGAGCTGCCTCTTTCCATATTATTAGAGAACAACATCTACAAATGGAACTCAAAGAAAGGTGATAGTGTAATAGAGGCAAATTGATAGTTATCGAGAATAGAAAAGAATTGAAAAAGTCATTTGTATGAGCATGTCTAGAAATTTCCATGAAAAGGTACTGTCCTGATTAGCATATATTGACTTCTGGGGTTTTTTTGGCATGTATCTCAATGGTTATTCTATTTTGATTAAAATGTTCATAAAGACTTCCAGTTTCATCAAACTGCCTATGATCTTAACACATTATGACAACACATTTTTAGAATGAGTCAGGAGAGGGGAAAAGTTTCATTTATTCTAAAAAAGGAAAGAATGACAGTGTCACTCATGTATGTGACTGCCTATAAAGCTACTCTTGGTCTTTCCAAAGAGATGATATTCATTCATTTCCCAAATAATATTACCCTATTTAATCAGAAACAAAATTAGGCAATCAACTTTACCAGGAAAGGAAGAATCTAATTACATATTTGGGGAGATAAATAAGATGGGTAAATCACCTCAATATCTAAACACTTAAGCATAATTGACACAGGATAATATTATATCTAAATCTTTTGTTTGTTAATCCTCACTCAAGGAGATTTTTCCATTGATTATTAGGGAGAGTGGAAAAGAGAGGGAAAGACAGAAAAAAACATCGATGTGAGAGAAACACATCGATTGGTTGCCTCCTGCATGAACCCCAACCAGGGCCCAGGCCAAGGAGGAGCCTACAACCAAAGTATGTGCCCTTGACCAGAATTGAACCTGGAACCCTTTGGTCTGCAGGCTGGTGGTCTATTCACTGAGCCAAACCGGCTAAGGCGATCTAGATCTTAAAGTTTGCAAAGTGTTTCTTGGATAATGAAAGAATAAATTGACACTAATTTCTAAATCACTTTATGAGGTTTTTATAAGTTAAAAAAATATAAGAATAAAATCTAAAAGATAGTTATTTGTAGCAAATCACTACATTGATACTGAAATGCATTGACCTATCACATTTGACAAAAATCATACCTAATTATTCTAATTAAATCTCCAAGCCAATTAGAGTGAGTCATCATTTACCAAATTCTATTCTGAGCACCAAATAGATTAGAGGAAACCATTATCAAAAATGACATCTCACATTCTCCTTTCTCTTCATTTTCTTTCCATAAACCTTTCATTTTAACTCTATAGAAATAGAATTAGAGGAGAAAATTAGAATGAGAACATTTTTGTTTTTAATATGTTGAAATGAAAGTTCTATAAAGTACTACCCTTACTCTGGGATCTGAAATCAATTATAGGTATCTCCTAGACCTTAAATAAATTTTAAAACTACATTTATAACACCAATTTTTGGGACCCCTAGATTGCAGTCTCCTTGTAGACATGAGTGCTTTGGGTGATTATTTTATAATTATGTTGGCAAAGGCCACTATAAATGTACTGCTTTGGTCCTAGCAGTATACTTTATAGTATTAGCCCATTTGAAAGGTCTAGGCCTCCATGAAAAGCAGATCCCAGTGGTCAGTTTATTCTTGGGTCATCTGGCCCTGCGAAACTGTCTCCCAGTTCAACTTCACTCAGCTCTGCTTGTACCAGAAAACTCTTCTATTCTCTCAGACCTGGCCACCTGCCTATCTGACAAGTATGTTCAGGAAGCATACCAAAATATATACCAGAAACATGTGTGATTTTTAGATTTTCTTGAGGGACATTTCTATCAAGATCAAAATTTTCTGTCTGTGAACTTTCATAGTTGAGAACAAACCTGTCACTGGGCAAAGGTGCAGTCATTTTTCCTACCAAAAGATGGCATCAGCTCTCAGAGGAAGTCATTTTAGTCTAGATAATGCTCACAAACATGATTAACCATATCATGCCAAGTAAGTGCAATACAAAAGATAGTATTGAAAGTGTGTTGATAGGGACAGACACATAATTACAACAGAAACTAAATTTATTTTTAAAGCTTCAAAGAGAAAACATGGTAAATGCCAGATTTGGGATGGGATCTGTTTTTCTGCAATGGAAACAATTCTGAAGGACAGAGAAAGTTGTATGTTGGCTCAGCCAGAGGATTGTGCCTGTACAGTCAACAGTTAATCAGCAGATGAGGAAAAGCAATTAACAAATGGAAAAGGTTTTGGTCATAACTAAATGGTAAGCATCTCTACCAGATGCCTTTTAGTTTCACATTAATTCAGAGGGAAAAGCAGGGATTTTAAGAACTTAAAATGCTAGGAAACAGTAGTCACAAGGTTTAAAAAATAGTATTCCCTGTTCCAGAGCCATGTTCTTGCTCTCACAAAGCTTACAGTCTGATAGGAAAGACAGAAAACAAATGCAAAAACAGGAGGAATTAAAATAGAGGTAAATGATATGAAGAAAATGAAGAAGTGGCAAGGCTCTTAAATGAGCCTTGTTGAACTGACACCTGAATGACCTGAGGAAGAAGCAGGAGTAACTCATGTGAAGAACGGGGGTACCAGCATTCCAGGCAGACAGGACAGGTCACTGCTGGGGAAACAACATTGCATGTATGAGAGAAACAGGGCTGTTCAGCTGGATCATAGTAAAGCAAAGGGAGGGTGGAGGCAGAGACCAGGTCATATAGGACCACAAAGACTCTAGTGTAAGCATTAGAATTGGTTCTCTGAGTCTGAATTTTGGGAGAGCCATCTCTGCAAGTTTATGTCAACAATTAGCCTGTTTTCTAAAACTAGAACAATATGTACTCATTAGAGAATATTTAGCAATTATAGAAAAAATATAAAGAAAGTAAAAGTGGTATTGAAAAGCTCAGAATCCATCCTGTAAGTTATAGATCCTGAACAGAGATCAACTTTCGTGTGTTTTGTAAGAGAAAAAAATCATTTATCACAAAGTAACATTTATCACTTATGCTCATGCGCGCACACACACACAATGTATCAGTTAAAAAAATTTAAAACTTGCTTTTAAAAGAATGTATGGAAATTTCTTTAAGAAATTATCTATCTATTCTATATATGTAAAAGGCTAATATGTAAAGTGTCCCCTCGGGAGTTTGACTGGGAGACCAGGAGTTCAATCCCTCACTATGATGTGCACTGACCACCAGGGGGCAGTGCAGAGTGAAGGAAGGCCCTAGCCAGCAGCAGGCAGCCATGGGAAGGAAGGCCCCAGCTGAAGGAAGGCCCCGATTGGCCCTGATCACTGGCCAGGCCTAGGGAACCCTACCTGTGCACGAATTTCATGCACTGGGCCTCTAGTCCTTAACACATTAAGTGCTCTGTCAGTCACCGGTGACTGATGCTACATTTTCTGTCCCAAAGACAAAAAAGGCTGGGCGCTTAACGTGTTAAATGAAAGTGTATCATTGATTTAAACAGTATTTTTAAAATTCAGCTAGGATTAATAGACTGTTGTTTCTTTTTTTAGGTTTGCAGATTTTATCAGGGGTATGCTGAAATTAATTCTTCTCCTCCTGTTTTCTGGGGCTACACTATCATCCACGTGGTTCACCCTCACCTGTTTGAACAGCATCACACACCTGCCTTTAACCACAGGTAAACACTGACTTTTGAACTTTGAATAAATATTTGTAGTTCAAAATATGTATATTTTGACAGTAGGACTTTTTCTTGCTTTCTATAAGTAATTGTTAAATATACAAAAAGGTCCCTTGCCAGCCATCAAACCATTATCCCATCTAAAAAAAGCTCAATAAATAACTAAAAATATAATATTTTCACTGGTATTTTACATATGAAAAAGAAGTATTATCTTTAACCCAAGCTATATAACATAAGCTTATATGCTTTTAACATTCATATCAGTGCATAATACAAAGATTTTTATCTTCTTTATAGCCATTACATCATTGTAGAACAGTAAAGAAAATGAACAAAGGCAAAAAGCTATGTTTGTAGTACACTTTAGTAAAATCCTTTGAACCAGCAACAATATTTTATAGTTAGTATAATTACATCATCAATACAAAACAAAACTTACTGGAAATATCTGTTGGAAGTATATTAGAGGCAGCTGACTTAGCTCATCCAATTGACCTGAAACATTTATAGTTGTTGTTTTTATTGTTGTTATTAGTATCATTGGGGGTCTGTATTAGTTTTCTGTGGCTGTTGTAATAAGTTACCACAAAGGTAGTAGCTTAGACCAACACAAATTTATCTTACATTTCTGTACGTTAGAAGTCCAGCTTGTATCTCCCTAGGGCCTAGGCTAAAATGGAAGTGTGGGCCGACTCGGGAAGAACTGTTTCCTTGCCTTTTCTATCACATTCCTTGGCTTGTGGCTCCTTTCCTCCATCTTTAAAGCCCAGGACAGCCTGTTACATCCTCCTCACATTGTATCATCTGTGCCTCTCTTCCTCTGAACTCTCACCTTCGGTCTCCCTCTTCCACTTTTAAGGATCCTTGTGATTGCATTGAGCCCATCCAGATAATCTAGGATAGTCTCCCAATTTTAAAGTCAGCTGATTAGTAAACTTAATTCCAAAGATAACATGTTCATGGATTCCAGGGATTAAGACATAAATATATTTTGGGTTAGGATTAGGGGGACATTGTTCTGCCTACCACAGGATCTTTGTAAAATTACTATGACAGCCCAGCCAGTGTGGCTCCATGGTTGAGCTTCAACCTATGACCTTCAACCAAAGGTCACAGTTTGATTCCTAGTAAGGGCACATGCCCAGGTTGAGGGCTCGATCCCTAGTGGGGGTGTGCAGGAGGCAGCTGATCAGTGATTCTCTCGCATCATTGATGTTTCTATCTCTCCCTTCCCTTCCTCTCTGAATTAAAACATTTTTAAAAATTACTATGACAAATTATTTTATAAATCAAGGGATTCTGTTCTTTTTTTTTTTCACTTTAACAAAAGATTAAGATTCATACACTAGTCTCTCTTATCCATGGGGGATATGTTCCAAGACCCCCAGTGAATGCCTGAAAGTCCAGAGAGTATCAAACCCTAAATATACTATGTTTTTTTCCTATACATAAGTACCTTTTCACTTAAAGAAAGCTCTTTATGGCTCTGTTTGGCATATTCTAATTGCCAGCATCTTTTGTGCTTTTGGACCATTATTAAGTAAAATAAGGGTTACTGGCACAATCCCTGAGCTACCATGACAGTTGATCTGATAACAGAGACTACTCAGTGAGTACCGGGCAGGTAGCATATACATTGTATGCATCGTGGATGTGCGGACAATGATGATTCATGTCCCAACCCGAGTGGAGTTCGGGAAGGTGACAGTGAGAGATTTCATCACCCTACTCAGAAAAGTGTGCAATTTAAAACTTACAAATTACTTATATCTGGTATTTTCATTTAATATTTTCAGACTAAGGTTGAGCTCGGGTAACTGAAACTGCAGAAAGCAAACCCACAGATAAGGGGGGACTACCATATTTTTTACTTCATTTGCAATTAATATTCAGCCACCTGTTGGATTATGTGTTTAATTCTAGGATTATTTGCTGTGAAGGTACATTGTAGGATTATAGGGTTATTTGTTATACCAAGCACTTGTATGGGTAGGAGTGAATAGTCTGAAAGTGGCTCTGTAGCCGCCTATTATCCAGGGGCCTGCATGTTCCCTGGGACTCCATGAGAGGAGGGTTCCTTGTCTACAGATAATTAAGGAATACTACACATCCCAATTTGGACTTATACTGTCTGTAATAAAAGGACCAACATTTGAGATGTAAGGGGGAGGGGGGCAAGTCCACTCATTTATTTGGGAGTTCCTACACTTTCATGCTAATAATAGGGCAACAGGATACAGTTGTCCTATAGCCATGATTACCAAACTGTGCCAAGCGAGCTGCCCTGGAGTGCACAGCAAACTCACAAGGCAACACGGGCTATTTTAAATTTCCAAAGGAAACGGATATTCCACATCTGCCAGACACGGTGCGAGCCTCTAGTTCCAGGCAGTTTCCACTTTCAGCATGGATCCTGCTACGTTATTTTTGATGATGTCTTGGCAAAGTTAGGTTTTCTGCAGTTGCTGTGATAAAAAGCAAATACTGCCAAAAATCAATGTGGAACAGGAAATGAGAGTGGTGGTGTCAATCTGCTTCTAAGATCTGAGAAGTTATATAGTGCCCATCAGATGCACACATCCCATTAGTAGGTAACTGTGGTTATTTAAGAATGAAATAAAAACATATTTATTTCAATATTTGGGTATTATTTTTTAAAATAGCTACTAAACTGTTAGGACATATATATTTTTTAAATTGTTTGGCTCTAACTATGTAATTAACACAATTGTTAGCTGTTTCTCTTGGCTTTGGAGCACCATGAAAAATTTACTGAGACAGAACGACTGCTGAGAGGGCAGGTTTGAAACCTCTGCTCTATACCACCCTGGGAATCCTCTGTAATGTTTATCGCTTTGCCTATAAAGCCCAGTGTCCAGAGTAATCATTTTTGGATATTACGTACTTTTTATACATTAACATTGCTACTTTAGGGTTTTGAGCAATTTGGGAAAGTATTCTGGGCCATAATTTTATTTTATTCTGGTATAATTTCATAGTTTAGCAGTTGTACAACATTCTGGTGGAACAGTTTTGGTTTATAACTTTTCTTATTCATGGCATTATGCTCAGATTTTTGTGTGATATTGTATGTCAAGTATGCATCTGTTAGATTTTACAAGAACACGGTCATGAGTACCCAACGAACAGATTTCTTTCCCTTGAATTAAGTGTAAAATACTCATTATAAGATAGTACATTCATTAAATTATATGTATTTTCTAATTAACATAAATTAACAGTTTTATCTCTAGATGGAGGCACTAGGAATGAATTTAACTTTTTACCTCCTTTTTTTGGTTTGGGATTTGTATAATGAACATACTTTTATAATCAGGAAAAAAAAGTATATATTTGAAAACAATACATGTTTTTTAATCTTAAAAGAAAATTGATGTAACTGAACCTGGTCACAACTGTTTTCCCAATTTGTCCCTGAAAATATGTTGGACAGAAAGGAAAAACATAATTCTAAATTAAATCAAGACCATAATTGAAAGGTTGAGTTTGACTTGGCCATCTTAACAACTACTGAATTTATAAATTCTGTTGTTTTCAACTGCAAGTCAGTTTTTGAATGTCACTTAGATACTTCTGAAAGTTGCATTTTAAATATTTTTTACATTTATATTTTATACATACACTGGGTTAAGGACTAGATTTGTTCACATTCCTTCTCTTGATTATAGTATATTTTTTTTGTCTTTCCTGATACCATTTAATAGTTACTTGAGTGTATGTTTCATCTCCTCTAAAAATGTGGAGCATGAATTTGTGCCTTATAAAATCTGACCTCAACTCCCACCACAGTACCTACCACAAGCCCTGAGGAATGAATGAATGAATGAGTGAATGAATGAATGAATGAATGCAATGTATATATTATCTCCATTTTGATTCTCAGTAGATATGACTTATTGCAAGTAGTAGTCAGCAATCATGCCCACTCTTTGTTATTCAGCACTAGCTGTAGGAAGGCAAAAGGGCACATTTTAATGGAACAGTGGAGCATTTGAATAAATCTGTCACAGATACTCTTACCGCCTTTGTAAAAATCTGATCTCATCCCTCTTAAGTAAAAGAGGTTTCACAAAAAAGAACTTACTATAAAACCTAATTATAGACAAAGATAGACCTTGGAGCTATTTAAAGTCAGTAATGGCAAATTCATGTTTCTTTTTTTACCACAGTCATTCTTTTTTTAATCAGGAAAATATCTAGCCTTATTCCCCATTTCTAGCAAACTTAGTATGTCTGTTACTGCTTTTTCTATATCAGAAGAATCTACATGAAAAGCACTTGAAAATATATTCATTAATTATAACAGTTGACAAAATAAATTAAAAGCTAGTTAATTTTGTTCAACCCATGTGTTGTAAGTGCTAACTACTACTAAAAACCTTCTATTGCAGTCTTTTTGTAATCCACTGATCTTGACATTATTGTGCCCTACAGAAGAAAACTGGATCATTTCAGTTGTGTAAAGGCATACTGTCTTGCTATATGTACTTGCTTACACACATCTTCTTGTAGGCTACCAGCAATATGCTTTTATTTCCTTAAGGAAACTTAATATTTAAAATTGCATTATATCTTTATAAATTGAAGCATCTACAATAGGGAAAATAAATAAACTCTTGACTAGATAATGCAAGTTTCAAAATCTTGAAGCTATGCCATGAACAAAATTATGAAAATACATTATTCACCTTATCTGAGAACTTGATGTCTAGCCCTGTTAGCCACAACTCAGTCATTTTTCACAGAACAGATGAATAGTTTGAAAATGGCATTTTGAAAAATGTTAGCACTTTGGTGTTGAGTTTGCTGAAACAATATAATTTGGGTGTTTAACAGAAGTTGCCTTGGGAGACGTTTTTCCTCTAATTCAAGTTACTAGAATGCCATGATGGTGACGTCAGAAACAGATAGTGGGAGGGGAATAAAGGGGACAATTAGCTAGACATGAGCCCCTTGAGAGTGATACCTGACTA